GCAAAACGCAGCGGTCGACTTCGACCCCATAACCTATATACATATATATATATATATATACATATATAGAAATGCATATATATATATAGGGAGAGAGAGAGAGAGAGCACACATATACATGTGTGTATATATATACACACATACATACACATATTCGATCGTTCATTCGCTTCTTCGTTCAATCGTTCATTCGTTCGTTCATTCAGTCATTAACTTGCTTCATTATTTAATCAGTTCAGTCTTACGTTCTTACATCTCATGTCATATCATCCATCCAAACACACGTTCATTAGTCAAGTTGTTCGTTTATTCATTCGTTCGTTCGTTCATTCGGTTATTCGTTCGTTAGGTCGTTTATGCATTTATTCGTGCATGCATGCATACCTTCCTTCCTTCCTTCATTCCTTCATTCCTTCATTCCTTCATTCCTTCATTCCTTCATTCCTTCATTCATTCCTGAATTCATTCATTCGTTCATGCATTCAGAACTCACTCATGCATCTGTATGCCGGTATCTACATGCATCGCATGCCTATGCCTATGCTCACACGTACCTACAGGCTTCGAGCTCGAACGTTGAAGGCTCAAACCTCAAAGCTTGGACATTTTGACGTTGAGAGGTTCAGAGTTCAAGTTGGAAGTTTTTGACCGGGATTTTAGAATCGAATTCGGGAATGTGGAGGAAAGCAACCGGGTCACACAACGATACTGAGCAAGAGCAGGAAACGCGGCAGCTCGATGCTTTCGGATTCGAGCAAAGCTTCGGGCTGAGGCGTGCAAGCATGGGAGATCAAGACTTCTGAGTATTACATGTGTGTATTTAGGGTTTAGGGTTTAGCGTTCAGAGTTTAGGGTTTAGGGTCTATGTGTGTACTTATCAGGTTCACTTTCTCTGGCTATAAGTGCTGCAGCCGATGTTTGAATCGGTGACATGGCATTTCAGACCTCAACTATCCCAGCGTCAATACATCATACGACACCAGCCACCTTCTGCGGAACAAGAATCTCGTCCGCGGCCATTTCGCGGAGGACCTGGTTCAGCAAGCGCCCACTGTCAACATCGATGAGGGCATCTGCGCAGGTCAGGCACGAGCACCGGTCAATGCGTATTCTGCTCCTTCGACATGCAGAGCCCTCCCTGCGTACCCCCTGCTATGACTCCGAGCCTTCCTGGAAGGCCACGTGCCGCAGCAGATGCTCGGGGATGCTCGCGCGCCGCGGGAGCCGGGAGGCCAGGAGAGCCACCAGCGGCACCGCGAGGGCCAGGCCCAGGCGCTGGACCATGGCAGGGAGCTGCCCGAGGCTTCCGAGAGCTCTCTGTTTGGGGTTTAGGGTTTAGGGTTTAGGGTGTAGGGTTTAGGGTGTAGGGTTTAGGGTTGGGAGTGGGCTGGGGGGGTGGGGGGAGGGGGTTTGGGATGTAAGGACTACGTGTATACACTGAGGCCACGGTTGCTTGGGGGAGGAACCAGGAAGAGTTGAGGAGAAGAGGAAGATCAGGGAATCGTCTCGTAGTCACTTGAGCCCCTCTTTCCTGCTACCTCACGCATATACGGCCGGCATACATCGGCATCCATCTTCCATCGGCTCTGCTTGAGCAACAGCTCAGGTAGACGGCATCCTCGGCAAAAATCCCATCCCTAAACCCTAAGCCCTAAACCCAAAACCCTAAACCCTAAACCCAAAACCCTAAACCCTAAACCCAAAACCCTAAACCCAAAACCCTCAACCCTAAACCGCCGTCAGGAGCCAGCCTCCCGACTGCATGGCCGGCGGTGCCTCGTAGCGACTCCCAGAGCACTCCCGACATCTCCGACAGTTTCCAGATTCCATAGCTACTGTACATACACAAATAACTAAATAAACATATATATATATAGATATATATATATATATATGTGCACATGCATCTTCGTTCATGTCTATATTTGTACATATATACACGATGGTAAGTAAGTAAACAAAGACATCAATAACTGGATACAGAAAGAAAGAAATATTATACTATATATATATATATATATATATCAAATTAGGTGTGTGTATATATATATATCTACAGACATACATACATACATACTTACTTACTTACATACTTACTTACATACATACTTACTTACATACATACATACATACATACATACATACATACATATATATATATATACTATATTTATTTACATACACATGCTTAATGTTGTGGACCCCTGCACTTTGCACCAGAAAGCGACTCCGAGCGCCGCGACTTTCGGGGGCCGCTGCCGGAGGCGTCCGACCTCGCGGACCTGGGAGCTCCGACGCGTTGTGGGCTTTCCGCCTTTTTGCCGGGTTTAGGGATGTAGGGATGTAGGGATGTGTAGGGGTTTCGGATTTAGGGACGTAGGGCCTAGTAGGAATTTAGGGGTTTAGGGGTGCAGGGTTTCCAGAAGGCCAATGCGAACTCGGCCCGCTGCAAGGTCTCTCGCAGGCTTCTTGAGCATGGCCTGACCAGAAAACAGAACTCTCCGGGCTCTTCATTCCCCACAGATGCAAGAAGCAGCGCGGATTGCAGGCGCACCCATCGCAAAGTCAGCGGAGAAGGTCCCACTTTGGGGTCCTGCGGGCTGGATTCGTATGACAATGGCCGGCTGTGCATCTGTGATTCCCATTGCCTCCATTTTGCAGAGAGCCTTTGTGGATTTCTCCGTGGATAAATGCCTATCGGGCCTATGTGTGAAATCGACGACAGCACGTGCAAAACAGCTTCTGTCGTTGAATGCACAGGCAAATCCTTCACATGAAATCCGTGAAGAACTCCCGATGTACGTAGACTCTTTTAGTAATATCTACGGCTGATGATCTATATGCATTCATGCATGTGTATAATATGCGTTTGCAATTAAGACAAGACTACCACAAAATACATGCCAGAGAGTTGTTCCCGCTGTCCTGTTGCTCTTGCAGCCACTATGAGTTCAATGGGCTGTGATTGATTGCTGCTATCCAAGTTATCGCTATGTCTGCTCATCCGAAAGACTAAGCTTTTATCAGTGTCGACATTCTTTTTCTTGCTATTGTTACTAGTGCTGTTACAACCGGTCTTGTTATTGCTGTTCCGGTTGCTGCCAGTCTTCTCACGGTATTGCTTCTGTTGGCATCACTATTGCTACTGCCGCAGTTGTTTAGAAGCTTCTGTTGTTGCGATTCTAAGGTGTTCTTATCAGGTTCTTATCATTCCTACTGGCACAAGTACTGCGACGGTTCTTGCACCCACGCCTAGTACGATTGCTGCTACCAGCACTAGTCTTGCTGCAGATACTATGATTGCTGTGACGAGGACGACGACGACGACAACCACAACCACAGCCAACAGAGCAAACTCTGCTGGCATGCTGTTGCTATTATTATTTCTGTCTCGGCTGCAGGACGAAAAATAGTGCTGCTAGGATTGCTACAACTCCAGCATCGCTGATGACACCTATATCGCAATTACTATTCCTGGGACTATTGGTGTTGCGATTCCCGCTGCCATTGTGACTGCTAGCTGGACCTGCGAGTATTGCTAAGGCTGATGCCCCTTCCATGTAACGTGTGAGCAGCAGGCATGACTGCTGTGTTCATACGACTAGTATTACTGTTACCACTGGTGCGACATGAGCTGCTACGATGAAGACCATCACCCTTGCCTGCACCATCATCTTAACGTCGATGTTGACAGTACTATCTCTGACAAAAGAAGTAACTGATGGTTAGTGGATGATGCGGCAGTCATTGCCAGAATGGGTGCTTGTTAGCATCCGTCTGCCTGTCAGGCCTGTCGCTGATACTGTTTTGTTGTCACCACTACGGCCTCCAAGTTGGAGAGAAATTGTGTAAGTGCAGAGTCCCCTGAAATCCGAACCCAATCCCTCCACACAAGGCTCTCCTTGCGGTACGGCGGCTCCAACAGGAGCGGCGTCGACCGGTCTTAGCCAGGCCGCTGGGAGAACATGATCGGGTAGACTCTGTGCTTAATTTGAGACGCCCACCGAGCATGTGACGTTGAGGCTTTGTGCTTGCAGTCGTGCTTCTGTGATCATGCTGTGCTTCTTGTGAGGGGCGATCTACCAACAAGGTTGTCGCGTTCCTTGCCGAGGCTGCTGGTAGCCGCCCCAGTCGCTATATTCGCAATATTCGTATCATAGTGGTGCCTTTTTTCGTCTTCACGAGAACCAACAGCCTATTCTGGCGTAAACACAGAAGGAACCCTACGGAAAATGGTTGGCAACTACTGAGGCTTCTTTATTCATCGTCGTCCTCGTCGTCGTCGTCTGCTGACTGCCCTTTTCTGCTTTGAGGCGGAGAGCTTGGAAATTCTTTCGCTTTTACTGTGGTAGACACACTCATGCGGCAAAGATCGACACTGCAAAAAAGGTATCAAGAGCAGTGCAGCTGCTGGGCGCATTCCGACCCGAAAACCCGAAAGCCTTTCGGCTCGGAACCCAAAACCCTAAACCCTAAACCCTAAAGCCTAAACCCAAAACCCAAAACCCTCTAAGACAGCCTTTTATAAGCTGGGGCCCTCGGCCCTGAGCCTCCATCCGCTTCAACAGCACGTTCTGCTGGGCTTTGGCCTGCACTACGCATCGCATCGCTGCTCCAAGGCTCTCTGAACCTTTGGCCTCGGAAAGAAAACGCCTGCAACTCTGGGTTTAGGGTTTAGGGTTTAGGGTAACCTGAATCCTGAACCGAAACCCTCGCCCTCTGCCCACGAAGGCTGGACTGCTTTCAGGTCTGTCCGGTTGGGATGTCCTTCTGCGACATCACAGGTACCACGACGAATATCGTCATAGCTGCTTTCAACGCCCGTATGCTCGCGATTTTCTGAATGGCGCTATCACCACCGATCTCGCGACTGAATGTTCCTGTCAAGCATGTACTTCCTGCTGGGCAGCACTACTAGCATAACTACTGTGCTGGTATGATCCGAAACTTTGCATGTGCCGAAGACCTGATCCTGAGCCTCAAAACCCTCAGCCCTACGTGGAAAACCCTGGCCCATGCCTAGACCCAAAACCGGCAAACCTAAAGCGCTGACAGCTGAACCGACGCGGCCTTGAGACGATCAATCTGCAGGCTCACCCAGCCGATGGTCTCATCGATCTGACGGTGCAACGTGGAGGTCACTGGACACCGTGACCCCTTCTGACGATCTCAGTCTTCGTAGAATCTATTCAACCCCGAAAAGCTGGGGGTGCCGGGGCTTGCTGGCCGAGTGCTGTCGGGCTTGGGCAAGAAAAATCGGAACTCCCGAGTTAGGAACCAACTCACGACTCTCCGCTGTGCAAGGCCTCGTCCAGCTGGTTGTAGTGCTCTGCTTCGATCAGACCTTCGTACCAAGGGGCACTAACGCCAAACCGAGCGGACTTTTTGGAAGGGACATGGAAAGGGATTTGGAATGACCAGTACCCCGGAGTCTAAACTCAATGCCCCCAGCCCTGCACCAAGAGCTCAACGCATCAACAACGGCCGTCATCAGCATGATAGTCATCCTTCAGATTGCGACGTCATCATGAACATATACACCCGCATCAACACCAACATCCAGTGACAGCAGCATCGCAACAACCATACACATCAACATCAACATCGTGCTCATCATCTAGCACTAGTGCTACAAGCAGTAAGAGCAGGAAGGCATCATACGTAGGCAGCCACATATGCCGCAGAGAAGCAAAGAGGGCCCCAGGCTCATTCTGCGCTTCCAGCATGGCGGAGTAGTTCGTTTAAATTCCCGGACATAAACTGAACATCCCCGCGGAGCTTGCACTACGGCGTTCGTTACGATTCTGCTGGTCCAAGTGGCTGTACTGCCTCAGCTGCTGACTTCTGGTTGATCCTTTAAGTAGACCTTAAACCCGATACCCTTAAAGCGAACCCTACCAATTACAGAAGCCTATAGCACCCTTTAAAAAGGAGCCCTGAATCTTTTTGTGGCGAAATTTGTGTCCTGTGGACCCTTCGCCTCCTGAGGCCTCGGCGAGTCGACCACATCTCGGCGTAGGCCATGAGCTCCTCGCGTCCGAGGCTTAGGGTTTAGGGTTTAGGGTTAAGGGTTTAGGGTTTAGGGTTAAGGGTTTAGGGTTTAGGGTTAAGGGTTTAGGGTTTAGGGTTTTAGGGTTTGAGAGCTTCGGCCTTTCCCGGGCCGAGGGGAGGGAGGCGGGGAGGGGGGGGGGCGGTTGGGGGTCGCAAAGGGCTTCGGAGCTTGACCTCGGTGCCCTTGGCTGGTCTGGGCAGTTCTGAAAAATTAGGCGTCCACTTTTTGGGTCCCCAATATCGTCGGTCGGGTCATATCCCAGGCGGCACGTGGACAAGCAAGGGTCGGCGCACCGAACGACGCCAGACAACAGGGTCGTACACAAGTCTCGGTACTTTTCATGGTGACCGTCCAAAACTTCAAAAGCCTTGTTCCTGATTTCACTGCTCCACTTACGGCTCGGTCTCCCGACTCTTCGAGTAGATCTGTTGGTTTCAGGCTGCATTGTTCCAGGGATGAGGGCAGTTTGGTTCATCGCGTGGTCATCGCAGGACTTTTCCAAAAAGAAGAACACGGCGTTGCAATAGCAAATCTGTGGCAATGGGCGCGGCGAAGGACTTTAGCATTGGATACCCGAGCCCAGAAATAGCACCGCACCCTTTTATAAAGGACCTCACAAAGGACCCTAATTCAGAGAACTACCCCTAAACCCTAAACCCTAAACCCTAAACCCTAAACCCTAAACCCCTATAACTACAGACAAGACAAACCTCGCGATCTTCTGAAGGAGCCTCGGCTCCCTCAGGTCAGGGGCGCGGAGATTCTGGAAGACATCGCAAAGAACATAAAAGGAAAACTAGACATCATGATATACTAGAATGCTGCAATATAGCATAGTCTTAGCATTTGTGTCGAGCAGAACCCGGCTATCAGCCTGGATCCCAGAGAAACCCCTGGGGCATTGGGACTAAAACCTCGCGCCTAAAGCTTGACTGACAAGTTCAGACAAGTGCATAATTATACGCGTGACCCACCGCCCTGCTTTTCCAAAGCATGACGGAACCTTTGACATGCAAGGTTACAAATAGATACACACCGTCGGCCCTTACTATGCAGACTGTGGTGAGTATACTCAGCACCTGCTCCGTGCGTCCTCCCTGACGACAACGCTTGAGCGCCACACAGCTCCACACTCAAGGTTCCAAACCCTAAGCTAGATCTGAAGCCCCTCAACCCGCATCTCTTCAGCAAATCTCCAAACACTGAAGCTCTCACACTTGCTCCGAAACTTGATCCCGAAACCTTCAACCGAAACTCGAAATCCTTCAACCAAAACCGTAAATCATTACACCCTGCACCCGCCATTCCACGCTCATCGCCTCTCTTCGGAGCTCCAGCGACTCGGCACTGATCCGCAACAGCGCCTTCCGATCCCCAGAGTTGAAGATCTTTCTCGGGGAACCTGAACTCTAAAACCCAAACCCTACAGCTGAAGTGCTGGCTGCCTCATGGGCCCTGACCACAAGCCATCAAAGGCCTGTGGATCCCTTTCCCCTCCAAAGTTCCTCCGGTCGGTGCTTGCTTGTACATTGTGGAGATTCGCCTGTGGAGGGTGGCATCGAGGCCACCTTCTGGTCAGAAATGCTTCCTACACCCATAATTTCCCATAGTTCTCATGATCCATAGTCGTAACCCGATACCTGCATTCACTGCTTTGGGATTGCTACCACACACTTCAAGCCCGTGTTGTCGACATTATGAGACGTTCGGAACAAAGAGCCTCAGCCACGCATTGACTGGCCTCCGACCAGAGACTGCTGAGGGGCACCGGAAGATCCTGCGAACTGTAACGGCACTAGGTCGACAATGTGGCAACTCAGGTCGCTCATCACGGTCACCATTGCTGATACTTTCACTGTTGCTGCCAGATCACCAGCATCACCACCCTAAGAACGACAGCACCTTCATCAGGGGCGCTCGCTCCTGATCGACAGCAGCACCAGTGCGGCCTGCACCTCTCGATGTTGGCTGCTTCAACGCTGTCCAAAAGGCTCTACAAATCTACGATTAAACGCCACGCGGACCTTCAATCGCACCAACCCTTCAATCATACCAACCCCCCAAAAAAACTGGTGCAAACGTGACCACAACGACTAGCTCGATGTCTGCCCGACATGGCCTTGGCGGCCATCGACCAAAGCTCTCCAGAGCCGCTTGCCGCCGACATCCTGCGTTCGTGGGTTTAGAATTTCCAAGCGCAGACGACGAAACGGGGAGGAGATATTAGAGGTTACGGGTTTATGTTGTTGGGGTCCGGGGGCTGCTAGGTCCCTTTCTGACTGCATGACCTGCACTAGCAAAAGATTTGCCAACGTTTTAGGTGGGGCAGGGTTGAGGCATGTGGAGGTTATGCACTGAAGGCACCAATCCGGAATCCAATGCCGAGACCCCAGGTAGGAATGGTGCCTTCGTGTCGTTGTCGTCGTCGTCTTCCTGGAAACCTGCCACACTGGGGCTTTTGGGCGTTCTTCCTCGGGTGCTGGTGGCCAGAACTGCTGGCCAGAACATGGCAAAGGCTGCAGTTGGGGGCGAGGGCTGAGGGTTTGCGCAGCTTCTCAGAACCATGGCCTGCCACTCTCAGCAGCGTCTGGCTAAGCCGCTCAGCCTCGAGCGGGCATCAGGGTCGTCGGGCTGCACCGGTGTGCCATCGTATCATGTGCCAGTAGCAGGAGCACTAGCACTAGCATTGTCGTGGTGGTAGTAGTAGTAGTAGTAGTAGTAGTAGTAGCAGCAGCAGCAGCAGGAGGAGTAGTCGTAGTGGTTGTAGTAGTGGTAGCAGTAGTAGTAGTAGTAGTAGTAGTAGTAGTAGTAGTAGCAGGAGTAGTAGTAGTAGTAGTAGTAGCAGTCGCAGTAGTAGCAGTCGCAGTAGTAGCAGTCGCAGTAGTAGTAGTAGTAGTAGTAGTAGTAGTAGTAGTAGTAGGAGTTGTTGTTGTAGTAGTAGTAGTAGTAGTAGTAGTAGTAGCAGTCGCAGTGGTAGTAGTAGTAGTAGTAGTAGCAGCAGTAGTAGTGGTAGTAGTGATAGTAGTAGTAGTAGTAGTAGTAGTAGTAGTAGTGGTAGTGGTAGTGGTAGTGGTAGTGGTAGTGGTAGTAGTA